TCATCCGCCTCTCCCCAGATTCGAACCTGCGACCTGTTGGCCTTCAGTCCTGCCGGCACAGAGGTTTAACCCACCATGCCACCAGGGGCTAGATGGATGGATAGTATCATTGAAGTGACTGGCTTGACTTTGAAAGATTTTGAAAGACTTTAAAAGAGGCCATGGCCAACAGGGAGCTCTGGAGTGGGCTAGCCAATGAGGTCACAAAGAGTCAGAAGCAACTAAATGAATAAACAACCAGAGTGGTCAATCCATATGAAATTTAATTCTAGACTTAAAGGATATATTCAAGATGCTGATCTCTAGCCCTTAAATATTTTCATCACCTTGAACATCTCCTTTAAAGTCTAGAGAATACAACCAAAAGTAGTTTCACTGCACAATTCATATGGAATGGTGCAGTGTCCTAAGCATTTTGGTACATTTTGAAATCACATAATTATATTTACTTTTAGCACAAGTCCAAGGAGAGTTCAATAATGAAGGCACTTTGTTTGATACATATCAACAAACCATTTCTAGCACAGACGTCTCGCCAAGAGCAATTCTTTATAGATACGTTTGATCTGGTAATTTAAGACCATCAGCCCCAGATATTCCATGTTAATAGCCTTCTACTGGATATTTCACATTTTCTACATTGGAAAGTTTCTTAAGATGTGAATGATTTTCGCCCCTAGTTGGCCTGATTTGCAACTTGTGTATTAAATTGTTTTACCACTGAAGTGTACAATTATTTTAATGGCTTCTTCCATTTAAAATGCTGTTTACTCTAATTTTGCAGTGCTTAATTAATTTAATTTATTTACTCAGTTCACTGCTCTTCTATACCGTGCAATAACCAAAGCTCTCTCTATAGACATTTTACAAAATAAAAAAATAAGAATGTTTTGAACATAATGTAAAAAAGGAAAGCTACAAAATCTAATTAATCTCAACAACAATCCTAAAATGTTACTTCTTAAGGACACAGTCTTCAAATTTGATAGGCCAAAAGGTTTGGGAATCACAAGGTTGTCACCTAACAGGAAAAAGAATATTAAACATAAGCTGTGTTGCTTTATGTAGATTACTCCTCAACTTCAGTGTCTACACTAAAAAGGCTCATTGTCATTAGCATATTGAGCTATTTTTAAAGGCAGAATATAAGTGTTCTCAAGGGTGAAAATATGGTGATTTATAAATTTATAAATATGTACAATTTTTTCAGCTTAGCAATATTTGGAGCATTTGTAAAAGTATCACATTTCATTGCATACTCGTCACACTTTCCCACTTTTTTTTGTCAAAGAGGGGGATGCAACTTTTATGCGAGGAAAAAAAATCTGGTATTGATTTTCTGGTTTCTTTTTTAAAATGCCTTACCTTCAAAAGGGGGAGAAGGAAGAATGATCCAGTCTCAAACTGCTCCATTTCTGGATAATCTGACACATCAACTTAGACACAAACAAATTAAAATAACAGCAGATTGGATATTATTAACTAAATTTTTTTGGGAAAAAGGAAAATGTTTAGTTGGATATAAATATTAAGAGAAAGAAAAAGACAGAATAATCTAATGGAACAAGAATAAGAGGATCATAATAAGAAGGAGAGATAAAAGAAGACGAAACTTCCCAGGAATGAGAAGATGGGAAGCCAACAAACTTTCCCTAACTCCTTTACCCTAAAACCTTGCCTTACCCTTAAACTCTTATCTACCTACCTACCACCCACAAACCCCCCCTCCCAATCCCCACTTCTTACCTACCCCTTACCTTTCCTGAAGACCCCCATTATTTTATGTAAACAGATATTTTTAAAAAACTGCTCCATTTCTGTTTGTTTTTTTTTTAAAAAAAACTACAGAGCCATTTGGGGCTGGTATTCCCATCCTTCCTTCCTTCTCTCTCTGAAGGCAAGACCATTTCAAAACTATAAAATAGAGGTGTTTGAAGCTCTATTCTTTTCTTTTATCCTTCCTCAAAGGAATGGCAGTCTGAAAAACCTGAACTGGAGTTCTCTGAAATTCTCTCCTTTTTCCAAAGAACTCCATTCATCGTTTTGTAAACTGCCTTGCCTCAGAAGAGGGTGGATAAGGGAGGAGAGAAATGTGAAGCTTCAGAAGCCTCCACTTTATAGTTTTTCAACTGAATTGCCTTCATAGAAAGAAGGAAGAGAAAATCAGCCTCAAATTGGGGTGCGACTATTATGTGAGGAAAATAAAAACAGACATTTTGGACAACCAACAATGGGGATATGAGTATTGTGCAGTGGCAACTATTATACAATGAAACATATTATATCTTTTCCCCAGTCTTGTCTCCTAAAATTTATTTACTTGGAAACATTAAAGACGGAATTTTGGACCTTGTTCATGTAATCATACTGCAAGTCATTCATGTAAAAGATGTTTTTAAATACATGTATACATTATAAATGTATTCTCAATTTGCTTCTGACATGATAAGTAATTATGTAAAAGATGGGTTCAGACCACTGAATGATGCCCAAAGTCACTTGATCAAAACTGATTCTACATCATAACTACTCACGGGAGACCTTAGTTCAGGTCTGAAATCAGGAATCTAAATGATCTTTTTTGGTCATAGATATCATAACTCATGCAAAATATAATTTGCATAAGTGCCTGTCTTGGGGGAGAAACTACAGTCTTTTCCCATTGTGATGTGAAGTACAAGGATACAACAGGGCAGGTTGAATGCTCACAAATCTACAAACAACCCATTAAGTGCCAGTAGTTTTGCTTGTTCATGAAACAAGGCAATAGGTGCATGCCATTTTCCAGTAGTTAGTTCCCAAATTTAAGCACTCAGAAGAATGCACACATTATCTATGAAACCAGCCCTGAGTAGCATGATATTTTGTGGAAGCTCAGGGTGAGGAAAAAAAATATGCTTTCTTGTTTACTGTGCAACGATGAACCAAATCTGGATGTGTCTCGGGGTATTGGAAGAGACAATGCTTTGATGGCATTCTTCCAGGCTAATAGTGAGGACAATTGGTTGAGATGCTGTGAAGAAAGCTTTGCCACAAGCTATAACCAACCTGGTTTTGTCATATTGGCATGTATACTGATGGTATTTCACAGCTGTATTATTTCATTGCTTCTCCGAATTATTCTGCTCCAAATTCAGTAGCTGTAGACTATGTATAGGGAATGTATATCATGTGCCCTCAAGCCCCATTTTGCAGCTACTAAATCCACTTGGTAGATGTCACCAATTCCTTCCTCCCATTTTATATTTTGTTCAATGTAATTTAGGAGTGATTTTCTGCCTGAAAACACATCCCAAATTGTGTTCAGATACGGGGAGTCCCCCCCCCCAAAAAAAACATTAAATCCTCCCCAATAATGTCTCATGCTACAAGTTCTGCACAGGATTTACAGCAGGGGTGGACAACTGAGCAGTGCTGGAGGGCAATTATTTGCTTCTGCCTTCCTCTATAGGTCTTGCCCACCTGTCCTGATACCATACCTTGTAAATGCTGCTCAACTTCTTTTGCCTGAAATTTGGCTGAAAATAAAGGCTTCGGGAGGATTTAATGTTGCGGGGGGGGGGGAGGGGGGACTCCCCGTATCTGAACACAACTGGCTGCATGTCTGATTAATGTAACTAATTTGTGTTGGTTTTTTTTAAAAAAAGAATGACACTGAAAATGAATACTAAATGTATATTTACTGTTAGTAATATGATAGCACTCCACACTAGTGGGGCATCCATCTTCTTGGAGTGACTAAAATAAAGTGCTAGGCATGCTTATTTGAGGATAAACACTGTAAAAATAATGTTAAAGGGGGTTTCAGCATAACCCGATGTTTTTAAGCACAATTATATGAACATAGTTCAGAGAACAGAGTGGGACCTTCCCCTACTATTAACATGCCTAAGGACCTCATCACACTTTATTGAGGCACTTTAAATCCAGTTCCTTCTACACTGCCATATAAAATACAGATTGTCTGCTTTGAACTGGATTATATTACAGTAAAATTCCCTTAATAATGGAACTCATGGAAGGAATCTAGCTCTCTAGGTGCATGTTTCACCTACCTTCTCCTGAGGGTTAGGGTGGGTCTCTCTAGGAGTTTTCTAGGTCCTCCAGGCGATTCTATGGGAACCTCCCTAGGAACCTCTAGGTCTTCCAACTGAATTTGATAGTATGGTGGACTGGAAAGTGAAGTCATTTAATAGTGTTCATTCATATCTCCAGCTTCATCTAATCATGGTTTGGCCAGGAATGTATCCTTTGCAGAAAGTGAATTATTAAAGAGGAGAGGTTGAAACTAAGAAATTGTTCAAGTATATAGTAAGAACTTTACTCTCCAAAACTTTTGAAGCACTATCTGTTATTTCCCTCATCTTTTCCCACTTCAGATCTTCCTCTCCCTATGTATGTTCTTTGCGGTTCTCTTGACAACATCTCTCCTGTTAGGCCAGTCCTGAAGTCTTGAATTTATACCTTATGCCTCTGCTCCTCATATCTAATCTGTCATCTTGTTGTGCCAATTATCCTTAAACCCTGTCTGCTCTCTATTATTCTCTCTGAAGTAGTGTGGAACATAATGTCATGGCACCTCCTCCTCAATGCAGTGACAATATTGCACTGAATGTTAAGATCCAGTTTATTTTTGCCACATTTCTTTCACACTAAGACTTAGGGATTGTGTTTGGTTGGAGGCATCCAGCACAATGGGTCAGGATAACAATGTGCTCTCATGTTGAATCCACTTTGCTCCATGCCTGTAACTCCTATACTGTATAAAAAAGAAATGTGTAAAGAAATTACTACAGAGCCATATATTTTATACCCAAAAGATAACTTGGCTCAAGTCATTTTACTGCCTGAAGCAGCACAGTATATGATACCCCGTCCTCAAATTATATAGCAGAAATAAGAGGAAATTATTGGAGGTTTGGAACATTTTGGAAATTGTAGTTCTAACTTTTTGTTCATGTCCACACAATTATTTTGTAATAACATAAACATACACACACTTTCTCTTTACCTTCTTTTAATAACATAAAGCATTTTAATATTATAAAAATTTACATACATAACTTGACTCCTCTTGTGTTTAGATGGTCCAAGAAGCTGGAGCACAGTTACAAAGCAGTAGGTATCAACAGCATAAAATTTTAGACCATATCTTCCCAACCTAGTGCCTTCCAGATCTTGTCATTCTATAATTTCCATTGTCCTCAAGCAGCATGGTCATTGGAATATGACCCAAGAGGAATCCCCACATATATAGAGGAGCTTAATGTATATAAGTGTTGGTATGCACACAGATGCAGTTACTGCCCACCAGACAAGTGGAGTGCATTGGAAGTGGTCATTGCAATGTTGGTTTGCATGATGTCTCTCATGTCTGTTTTTTTAAACCTTATGGAGATTATAAAGTTGTTGGAATATCCTCTAAATCTTCCATAGCACAGGTAGAATATTGTCTTTAAGGAGAGGTGGTCTTTCTTCCCTCATTTGGCAGAAGGTGGATGCAACTTTTGAGTTCCATGATGGCAATTGTTACAAGACACATTGAATTTCCATCCAATTCTATAGTAACTCCTACTGCATTGCTGTTCTTGCATATTCCATGGCCAGCTGCTGCTTTCTGACTTGAAGTTCTATCACTGCCCATTTTCCAAGCATGGCTAGTTCAGGGCCAGATGCTGAGTGCTAGGGAAGATGCCATGGGTCTCTCTTTGGTGGCATAGCCTTGAAGTCTCCCTCTCACCAAGAAGCCACTGCTGTATAACAAAAAAAAAAAGCGGGGGAGGGGGGGATAGCAGTCATTAACAAAAGTGCTTCTATAAGCATTTTAAGAATGCTGGCCCCACAAACCCCGCTACCAATTTCCTTGCATGCTGGATTCAGTATTAATAATTATTGCTCTACAGGCTTTAAAAAAATGTTATTGCTTACTTATAGCACAATTTAATTTTTAGCAGCAATGTAGAAATAATCCTTTCTGCTGGTTGTGATTCCTTCACAACCTGTATTAAAGCAACAATAGTAAAGACATCCATTTAAAATATTGTCAAAGTTCTTTCTTAGAAAAACATCTGAGTAGCAGTAACTGGCTGTTTAGAATGCAAATTGGCTTACTTCTTTGTTTATAGTCAATAAAATGGGTGATGGCTTGAGTGGTTGAACAAATACATAGAAGATTCATTGAATTGTAGCTATTTGGGAAATTGGCAGATGTTATCCAGAATTCATTGGTCCAAGTTCAGTTTCAATTCACAGTGGTAAGTAGCCACATTATTTAGGTCCGCAAAATGGAAGGAGGATGGGGGGGGGGGGCGTGAAAGCACCTTTGAGTCTAAACTGGTTTTTATTTTTACATGAGCTTTTGTGGCATTGTGGACATGGGAGAGCATTTTACAATATAAAATAGCAGTGAATTGAAGTCTAGCAAGTCCTTTATTGGATACTTTACTGGATACAGTATAGAATTATAACACTATGTAACACAATTTTTGTTCCTGGGTTATAAATGTCATTTCCTAATTGGATTTATCATGAAAACATGGAAAAGATTTATGAAACTGCAAAAACCTTTTGGCAGGACATCTTGCAGCACATTTTGCAATAGTTTTTCAATATCTCATACCACCACATCATACTGGGGGCAAATTGGCCCCTTGGAACACTTTGGGTATGAGGCTTGTCAAGCACCATCACATTACATTGCAGACCCCGCCCCATTGCTCCTCAAAGTGCTGAGGAAGCATTGCAAAATGCTTCCTTGGCCACCACACTTTGGTAAGTGCACTTTTTACCTTTTCCCCCCATCTAGTGGGGGAAAAGACAATGCGGCAACATGTGTTGCCACACTTTTCCCTGTCTGATGGCAATAAGGACAGGGTGCCTTGTCCTGTCCCCCACATGTGATGGGGGAAGAAGGGGGCATGTGGAGCATTTTGCCAGCAAAACAGGGGTCATCTGTATGATTAGGTCCATAGCGTCTCAACCAATCCAACACAGTTTGCAACAGTCACCAAAACAAAGAATAACAACTACTTTCAAAGTAAGTACCACATAATTAAACAGGAAATTAACCGAATGCTCTTAATGTCATATCAGAAGTGGTTTATGATCCTTCAGAGCCTAGCAGTTCCTCAGCTTTGCATTCCTTGTTCAGTTAAGGCCAGATAAAGACCAAAGAATTAAGACATCCTTTTCCAGGAACGTGAACATTTATCCTACACTCTTGCATCTTTCACTGAACTTTTTTTAAAAAATCATGACCTCCAAATTTAGAAAAATCCATTTGACCAGTGACAATGCTGCAAGAAGCCTCTAATATCAGGCCTCTTTCTCTTTGTCTGCCTATGCCTCAATCCCAGTTAAGGAGCAATTCAGTATGTCTTTGTCCTTCCTGTCAATCATTTTATGACAAATTACAGATTCCACTGTTAAGTGAAGAAGGGCTTATTAGACTACAGTTCACTCTGCTGCTATTTTATATTGTAAAATGCTCTCCCAGCTCCACAATGCTAGATAGCTATGGGAAAGAGTCAATTAGTACTAATACTGATGCAATTTCCTTGGCATCACAGAGCTTTTAAAATTCTTTCCGGCCTGCTTTTGTTAGATTTCTCAACTGGAATAGTTCTCCATAAATGTAACTCACTGCCCTGTCCAGTTTTCTCTCATTTTAATGTACTGACCAAAACTCAACACAGACCAGGCAGGAGGAACATGTGATCCTCCAGATGTAGTTGGACTGCACCTCCTATCATTCTTTGTCAGTATTTATGCTGGCAAGAGCTGACAAGTCTAATATTCACTGCAGGACCACACATTTCCTACCACAATGTAGTAGATAATAAGAGATTTAGATCACCTGCCTACTCAATTTTTAGCTCTTCTAGAGGTTAAGAGAACCACAATCATATTTTTGTTATCACCATTTGAACACATAGAACCGCTAACATATTATTTCTGATCACATCTAGTTGTTGTGTGTGGAGAGAGTTGACTGTTTCAAAGTAAGGAGCACGTTGAACAGAGTGCAATAAATCCACAAAGGGGAGTTATTTGAAAAATTGTGGAATTTCATCAGGAAAAAAAATCAGAGTGCAATAAATCCACAAAGGGGAGTTATTTGAAAAATTGTGGAATTTCATCAGGAAAAAAAATCTAGACCATGCCAGACTCTTTGGGGTATTGGTCTCAAAATCTAATCTAGATCCCTTAAAGAGCACATGTGTTCCACATACCACAAAATTTCCATCCTAGGTCAGATGGTTTCCCTGACCAGAAAAACAGCTTATAATTTTGCATTGGTGAAGTGATTTTTTTCATTGAAGCAGAAGCTACAGGAGCTCCTCTGACTATTGCCAGTTGTCAGAGGCCTATTATATCTCACCTCTCAAGACGGGAGCCCTGACAATTTGGCAGCTCACTGTGAAGCATTTGCTTGGTTCTTTGCGGACAAAGTCACTTTGATCCATTCAGGCCTGGACACTATGTTAACTGCAGTCTCTGTTGATATAGCTGAAACACCTGCTTGTTCGATTTTAATGGATTCATTTCAATTGGTGAAATCTGAGAATGTGGATAAGATACTTGGTCGCTCTCAAATGAGAGTGACCACATGCATCCTAGACCCATGCCCATCCTGGCTTTTAAAGGAAGCCAGAGGGGAATTGGCCGAGTGGGTAAAGGTGGTGGTTAATGCCTCCCTTCAGGAAGGCAACATTCCAGCGAGCTTAAAACAAGGTGTAATAAAACCGCTGAAAAAGCCATCACTGGACCCCACTTAATTCGACAACTATTGGCCTGTTTCCAATCTCCCCTTTTTGGGCAAAGTCCTGGAATGTGTGGTGGCTTCTCAATTCCAGGTATTCTTGGAAGACACGGATTATCTGTACCCAGTACAGTCTGGTTTTAGGCCGGGACATGGTACTGAGACAGCTTTGGTCGCCTTAGTGGATGATCTTTGCCGGGAGCTAGACAGGGGGAGTGTGTCCCCTCATGGGAATGGGCCTTGGGGGCACTGTTCTGCAGTGGCTCCGGTCCTTCCTAGAGGATTGTTTCCAGAAGGTGTTGTTGGGAGACCCCTGCTCAACCCCACAACCATTGTGTTGTGGAGTCCTGCAGGGTTCAATATTGTCTCCTATGTTGTTTAACATCTACATGAAGCTGCTGGGGGAGATCATCTGGAGTTTCGGGGTGCGGTGTCATCTGTACGCAGATGACATCCAACTCTGTCACTCCTTCCCACCTGCTACTAAGGAGGCTGTCCAGGTCCTGAACCAGTGTTTGGTCACTGTGACGGTCTGGATGAGGGCAAACAAATTGAAACGGAATCCAGACAAGAAAGAGGTACTCCTGGTCAGTCGTAAGGCCAAACAGGGCATTGGGTTACAGCCTGTGCTGGATGGGGTTACACTCTCCCTGAAGGTGCAGGTTCGCAGCTTGGGTGTGATCCTGGACTCATCGTTGAGCCTGGAACCCCAGGTCTCGTCAGTGACCGGGAGAGCATTCGCACAATTATAACTTATGTGCCAGCTGCACCCATATCTTGGGAAGTCTGACTTGGCCATGGTAGTCCATGCTCTGGTTACATCCTGTATAGACTACTGCAACACTCTCTACATGGGGTTGCCTTTGAAGACTGTTTGGAAGCTTCAAATGGTCCAACGGACGGCAGCCAGGTTGCTAACAGGAGCAGCGCTCAGGGAGCATACAACTCCTCTGCTGCGCCAGCTCCAATGGCTGCCAATCTGCTACCGAGCACAATTCAAAGTGCTGGCTTTAGCCTATAAAGCCCTAAACCGTTCTGGCCCTGCTTATCTGTCCGAATGTATCTCTCCTTATGAACCATCTAGGAATTTAAGATCTTCTGGGGAGGCCCTGCTCTCGTTCCCGCCTTCTTCACAGGTTCGGTTGGCAGGGATGAGAGACAGGGCCTTCTCAGCAGTGGCCCCTTGGCTGTAGAGACATTAGATTGGCCCCCACCCTCTTATCGTTCCACAAAAAGTCAAAACCTGGCTGTTTGAGCAGGCTTTCTCAAATGCAATGTAGCAGATAAATCCTGATCTCGGAATAACTGGACAACGCGATTGGACAATGACTTTGGTAATGAGATGCAAAGAATCTATGTTTTATTGGTTTTACTACTTAATGAATTTTATCTATGTTAAATGTTTTAATTGTTTTATATTATTATGGGCATCAAATTGTGCCATTCTGTAAACTGCCATGAGTCGCCCTAGAGCTGAGAATGGCAGTATAGAAATATAGTAAATGAATAAAAATAAATAATTATTGCTGCATCATTTTTTTAACTTCTTAGTCCTCCTATAGAGAGAAGAAAAACATCAATATTGTCTTCTCCCCATGTTCTTCACATTTCTGCTATAAGAGGAGATTGTCCCAGTGCGATTTACTCTAAATATTGACTTGATATGGATTGTAATTAAAATCAAAGGCCACCAAAAGCAAATAGAATGTATTTATTACAGAAAGTGTATGTCAGATAAACAAAGGTGATGGATTGTACTGCCTACAATGCGATAACAAAGACCAAGTCCAATGAGGCAAAGAGGCAAGAAGTGAAAAAAGGACTGAGAACACATTCTGGCCAAGCAAGCTAGGCAGGAAGAAAAACATCTGCGAACCCTGACTATTTGTCTTCAACTTTGCTGCCCACTGTACTCATAAATGTATAACTGCTTGTGGAAACGTGATTCCACATTCTCCTTTTCCAACATTAAAAGGCTTCTAAACTATTTAG